GGCACTCTAGCCTAGGCAACAGAGTGAGACTCTGTCTCAAAAAAAAAAGCACAATGAGGTATCACTTCCCACCTGTTAGAATGATTATTATCAAAAGACAAAAGGTAAGTATTGGCAAAGATGTGGAGAAAAGGGAACCATTATACACTGTTGGCGGGAATGTAAATTAGTAAGCCATTATGGAAAACTGTATGGAGGTTCCTCAAAACACTATAACTAGAACTACCATATGATCCAGCAATCCCATGTCTGGTTGTATAGCCAAAGGATATGAAATCAGTATGTCAAAGAGATATCTGCACTCCCATGTTCACTGCAGCTTCATTCGCTATAGCTAAGATTTAGAAATAGCCTATGGGTTCATTGGACAGATGAACGGATAAAGAAAATATGATGTATATATACAATGGAATATTACTCAGCCTTGAAAAAGAAGGAAATCCTGTCATTTGTGATAACATGGATGAACATGAAGGACATTATGCTAAGTGAAATAAGCCAGGCACAGAAAGACAAGTACTGCATGATATCACTTACATGGGGAATCTAAAGTTGAACTCAAGGAAGTGGGGAGTAGAAAGGTGATTATCAGGGGCTGGGGTTGGGGGGAACAGATGTTGGTTAAAGGGTACAAAATTTCAGTTAGGATGAATTAGTTCTGGAGATCCATATTACAGCATGGTGACTACAGTTAATAATAATGTATCGGATACTTGAAAATTTCTAAGAGATCAGATCTTGAATGTTCTCACCATGAGAGAATAAGGGAGGTGATGGATATATTAATTAGTTTGACTTAGTCATTTCACAAGGTATACATATATCAAAACATCACATTGTATACCATTATATATAATTTTTGTCAATCATATTAAATATCTTAAAAAAGCTGGGGGAGGGGGACAGACATAAACATCATGTACCTTCTGATATGACACACTGAAGAAGCATACATCACTTCTGTGGTATTTCTGAATTAATGCATAACCTCAATATAATCAGAGAAGATATTGGAATCAAACCCAAATTGAGGGATATTCCACAAAATAACTGGCCAATATTTTTCAAAAATGTCTCTAACTCATGAAAGACAAGAAAAACTGAGGAACTGTTACACATTAGAGGAGACTAAAGAGAAATAACAAGTAAATGCAATGTGAGGTCCTGGACTGGATCTTGCACTAGACAAAGAACATTGGTGGGAAAATGGTGAAATTCAAATAAGGACTATAGTTTAAATATGAGTATTATACCAATGTTAATTTCCTGTTTTGGTAGTTGTACTGTGGTTATATAAT